ACTTCTACCCTATCAATCCATTGCAAATGAACATTACCGCTCCAATTTCAACATTACACCAAGTTTCACTTAAACATTATACGTACTCACACTCGCACCAATGAATATTTGATTACCCTCGGTTCATCAATATACTTTTAACGCGCCGTGTCATCAGCAACTACTCCCGGCTTATTAATTCCCCAGCGTATTAATCAGAGCAAACCGACTAACCTTATTAAGAAAGTTCAAAGCGTCTGCGAGCAGCAGTTCAGCCCTTATTTCGAGGCACGCCTCGCAAAATATCACATTCCGGCCCTCGAAAAGAAGCCCGCGCAAACGGAACGGCTCACAAACGAAATTAATCCCGAATTCCAGTCCGCACGGAATAAATCACCGCCCGGAAGCATGATAATTCCAGCCGAAAAATTCATCGCGACGGGGTGAACGCGGGCCGCGGAATGAATCGCGAAATAAAAATTAGCGATAAATATTCCGCATCGTCGGGCGATGCGTCCAGCTTCCGCGGATTGAATTCCAACGGCCGAAGAACGAGCCCCGGCTCGTGAAAATGTTATTTCCCGAGGCCCGCGATTTTTCCCGCCGCCCCTAAGACGGAGCGAGAGGGCGGATGGCGCGAAAGGGGCGAAGTATTTATTTCCAGTGCCCTCGAACCGTTTAATTTTCCGCGCGCTCTTCGAGTGGACCGAATAATTGGCCCCTGAATTCTCGATTTTCATCCCTCGCCCTTGCGTTCCGCTCTCGTTTCACTTTTCCCTCGTTCTCTGCCCCCCTCGCCCTTTGCCCTCCTCCTCGCTGGGCCACTTCATACCGCGGGTTCCTCTCGTTTTCCTACGAGTGGCTGTCTAGCGGTGCTCGGAAAGAAATCGCACGTTCCAACGGATCGCGGCGCGCCCGGGGAAAACGGGGGCTGAAATTAGCACCCCCGTCTTTGCTGGATTCTAGTCGAGCCGGGGATTCTTTTAAAATTCGCCGAGATTAGCGAACAGGATCTCGGGTGATTTAGTGAATAATGGCATCTAGTGTTTGGTAATCGCACGGAAACCGGTGTTGGATTGAGAAAATTCATGTTTTGGACTCTCTGGAATTATTTTATGTGCTCGGGAGCTAAGGGAAGAGATTTTCACTTTAAGAAGTGAAAAGAATATTATTTGTATTAGAATTTACAGAAGTCAGGAAATATTGAGAAATGGATTTAATATTGGCTTCTGAGCGACTTAAGTCTTGACGTGATATAGTTGGATAGTTAATTTACTCGTTTGAGCTAGTGAGATTTAGTCAGTTAATTTTCTTGATTTAATAAAGTAATCAATGTTTCAATGAAGCTAGATAATCGAAGATCACGCAAGTTTCTTCAAACAATTACCTTTATCCAAAATCATATAGACAGAGCTCGAACCTAATATTCAAAACATTAAAGGCTAGATGACATGAAATAACGAAAAAGAAGGTTCAATACAGAATCATAAAAATCGGGACAGAGGACTCCGTGAAAAGTAACAGGCGCTTCCGTGAATTCCGCAGCTGTCCGCCCGCGACGCGGGTAAAGCGGCGAAATTACGCGACATCGAGCAGTAAAGACGCAAAAAACGAAGCCGTTAGAGGAGAAACGCGATTCTACTTTGGCGGGCCGACGCTGCTCCGCCACGGACGGATAAGTTTAAGCGTCGAGGGACGCGCGAAAGCGTCCTCGAGACGTCCAGAAAACGCGAGACGCCTTTCTTTCCCGATCCTCTCGGCGTTTCAGGCACTTACGGCGACTTTGCATTAAAATTTCGTCCCCGCTGAAAGCCCGGGAATCTCGGGGACGCGACCTCCGACCCCGCGGCCGCCGCTGGGAAGTTAAATTTCCAGCCAGTTTGTTCCTCCGGATACCGAAACTCCTCGAATTCCACGCGGATTCGGGAACACCGAACGATAAAAACAAAAACACCTTACTCCACAGTTCTCCGGAGCTCCAATGAGAACGGCGTATTACCCGGCGATCGAATTTATCAGCGTTGTTGGCCGAGCGCTTCGGATTCTACTCGTGTAATTAATTCCCCGACTCTTCCGCCTTTGAAAAAGGGAACGTCGATGGGATTCGTCAAAGTGTGATTAATTGAACGATCGCGAAGGACATTTTTATCTACTATTCTCAACTGTGATTCCATTGTACTGTTTGTTTATTATTATATCTATCTCAGCGTTAATTCCTTCTGAACACACGTTTCTTTTATAAACGTGCAATTCATTCGCAAGAGATCGCGCGTTAATCTTCACGGAGCTCGCGGCGTGATTCATTAATGCGATTCGTGGAAAACTTCACGAGTAACTTTACTGTTTGATTCCGTTCGACTGTGTGTTTGTTTATTATATCTTCTTTATTCCGTCGGCGTTAATTCCTTCTGAACGCACGTTTCACTTTGCTTTATAAATGCGCAATTCATTCGCTTTAAGGGATCGCGCGTTGATCTTCATGGAGCTCGCGGCGTGATTTATTAATGCGATTCGCGGAAAACTTTACGAGTAACATTTATTCGGCGGGGGAACGAGTGGAAGGATTTAAGGGCGCAGCTGTGCGACCTAGATTTCAGATCGTAAGGGTACACCAGTAACGAGCTGTCTAGGGAATTAATTCGACGGGATCGTGTACGTCGAGGATCGTGAAACACCGGATACGTGACTGGGGAGAGGGAGCTCAGAAAGTCATGGGACCAATGGGGAAGAGAGAGAGAATCATCCCCCGTTTCTCTCTCGACCGAGGTGTATCTGGACTTCGTCGGTCGGACGACGACGTCGCCGACGGTTTCAGACGTTACCGGAAATCGAGAGGACGTGCCTCGATATCCGCTCTCCTTATCGATTTTCTTGGTGGCCTTTCGACTTCTCGCCCTTCTCATTCCACGAAACACGTTTTCCTTAGTCGACCTACTTTCCTCCCATTCACGACCTCCCCCTCCACCACTCATTTTCAGACTTTTCTTGAACATTTTCCAAGAAATTCTCTTGACTATTTTCCCCCAACGCGGAACGAGTTTCCGCGAGCTTTTTACTATTAAGGGTTTTTCTTTCTGTGTCGGGAACTGAAGGGGTCTTTTTTCTCAGTTTCCGTGCGAACCGACGGAAAACGCTTACGATTTCATTTACATTTTCCATGAACTTTCAGAGAATAATTCCCAAGATGGGTGTTTTTCACGGGAAACTGCGAATGCTTGAGAATTGAAGTGTCTAGTGATATATTCAAAGGAGAATTAATTTTTTATTTTCAGTCGATGGAAAGGGGATTCGATCTTTAGGTATTGGTGGAAATCGATGACTACCGATCTCTCCGTTGAGACTTTGATAAAGTTCTTTCTGTGATATCCATATTAATTTTCTCTCGCAATACTTACTCTATATTTTATTTCTTAAAGTGTTGTAAGAAGTATGTCATTGTGAAATTACTAATAGAGCATTGAAAAATGTATTACTGTAGTAATTTTGAGGTTTGCATCAGAGGTGCAGTGGGCAGAAACAGTAAAATTGCTATAGGAAAATAAAGAGTACGTTTATTGACACTTAACCCTTTGCGGACGAAGATTCTTTGAAATGTAGCAAACCTTCAACAGATGAAGCTAAATTACATATCAATTGTATAATCGATAGAACAAAAGGAAACTGCGTGCTATTCTCTTGCAATCAAGTAATTGAATTATTTTTTTCTGATTTAGTCTTCGAAATATGAAAATTTCATCTCCGGAATGTCGACATTCGTCCACAAAGGGTTAATTTATGGTCCATCGGGCCACGTGCTTTGCACTTCTCAAAGAAAACAGTCCCGTGATCGCCTCCTAATACAATAACTAATAACGAAAGTTTCCTATTCAATTATTCATCTCAAAATCGCGGAGTGTAACGTTTTATTATAGGGAAATTGTTTATTGCGAACAGAAGGGAGCATCTCGGTTAATTTGAAAAGCGATTTCCTCTCGACCGGTAGTTCCGCGAGAATCCCGTCGGGGATGAATCACCGGGGAATCCATCTTGCCATCAATCAAAGGACGGGACCGTTTGTCTTATTCTTCTTTAGCAGTCGGGACGAGCAAATACTGAGGAACGGGTCGAATCAATCCACGATTCGGGACGGGGTTATTCGGGAGAGCTAACGGCGGGGCCGAATGATAAATTTCGCGCGTTTTCCCCGCGGAACTATGAAGACGAATGCGTTGTTTGCTTCCGGAACCGGCAGAAACTTCGCCTGCTTACGTAAATAATGCTGCACCGTTCGTCGTGATCGTTCGCCGAAGATTTGAATGGGTCCACGTCGCGCGCAAACATCGCTGAACTCGCCGGGACGAGGCGAAAAACAAGGAAAACTTGCTGTCTGTCTGAAAATTTCTCTCGTTACACGTTCACTTGTCTGGAATGTTTGCCGAGGAACGAGGGCGGCTTTTAACACATTGTTGACCGGAAATTTCATACAGAAGCTTTCTCGTGTCACCGGTTGTTATTTTGTAATTAACCCTTTGCACTCCAGAAGTTTCTCGTTAGAAATACTCAACATTTTTTAATCGAATACCAACGACATTCTTTCAAACTATTGTATTCAGTTTTATGTCGGTTTTAATAGATTGGGAATTATTGGCAGACATTCGTATCGAAACTGTGATTGATCGTCTTGGGTGATAGAACTTTAGTTGGATCGCTCGCGAGCGAAGGGATATTTAGAATACTGAAGTTGAAGCTTTTCTGAATTTTGGAATATCAAATTGAAGTTCAGAATGTGTACTTTAAAATGCAAGTGGTTTCGTAAAGAAAGGATTACGTTAACACACTTAAAATCGCGATCGATCGATGAGACTGGCAGTATCCAAAATGGACCTCTCAAGGATGATCTAATTTTCGAACAGCTTAACTTGAAGCTATTCTAGCTTCTGGCATATGAAATTGAAGTTGACAATACATACCTCAATCTGCGTGTATGCAATTTCGATTAACTTAGAATTTTGTTTCTCTAATTGACAATCGTTCCGTTTCAGACACTCATTGGCCGGTCTTCGTCTGCGTTCTAATGGCGACGACGGTGCTTTCCTGTCGGCAGAGCGAGTTTCAGTGCGGCAACGGCCGCTGCGTCGCCCTGAACAAGGTGTGCAACGTTGTTGACGACTGCGGCGATGGGACCGACGAACAGCGTCAATGTTCACGTGAGTACAGCCTTTTTTTTTATCACTCCTTCAACTTCTCTTCCAAAACTACCAACGACATCTTACGTACACCGATAGTCTCGTCGCATTACACACACAGAATTCTTTCGAAATCTACGCAAAACCATGAACAAACAAAATCAGCACATCCAAACCTGTAAAACAGTTAAAACCGAAATTACTCGATACTCCGCCAAGTCTCCGAATCCATTCCCAGCGCGAGAGGTTAACGAACCCCATCGATCCACGGAACAATCTCGGAAATCTCAGTCGTCATCCCCATTAATTAAAAAAGAAGGCACAATAATTAGTCGCAGATCGGCCTCGACAATGGCAGCCGCCATTTTCGGCGCGCCAGGAATTTCGGCCATCTTATTGTGCCGCGACCCGAATGCAGCCTGCAACTGATCCCCTCATTGTTCCCCGTTGCGCAACAATCGAACCGTTTGAAAGCCGCCTGGTGATTGCCGTCGGCCCGCGAGAGTTTCCACTTCGTTAGAACCCTTTCTTCGCCGGGAGATTTTTATTTGTTTACCCCTCGGTTTCGTCCAGCCGTGGCTCGCCCGCCAGAAATCTCGCGGACCGACTCCCGGGGACGCCGCGCTGGGAACTGCGGCCGATTCCCTTAGTCAGGCAAGACTGTTATCGACAGATCGTGATAAAACGGCGCCGGATACGCCGGGCGTCCAGCAAAAAGCCGTGGGACGGCGCAGCGTCTTGATCCCCGGCGCAGATCCCCTAATTTTCGTGATTTATCCGGACGATGTGTCCGGGCCGATCCTTTAAAGCAGAGTTTCTCGGTCTTTGAGCGGCGAACGGCTTTGTACACGGCGTAAATTCGCGGGAGAAGTTGCGTCTGGGTTTTCTGACGGATTCGAAAGCGGCGGATTATGTGAGCCGAGTGCATTTAGAATGGAGATAAGGATGGGTGTGTAGAGATTAACCCTTTGCACTCGAAAGTTTCTCAATGGAGATATTCAACATTTTCGAAACTGTAGAAAATCCGAGTAATTATCTTTTGTAGTAAAAATGAAAAGTAATAAATATCAATTACTTGGCACACAATCATTAGCTTACACTATGATTCAGTTACTTGCGTTATTAAACATTTGCATTCGACGCCGGTTATCTTAAGAATTATAATTGTTTCCGAGTAACTTGAATGCTCCATGGCAGTTGACGTGTTAACCCTTTGCACTCGAAAGTTTCTCAATGGAAATATTCAACACTTTCTGACGAGATACAGGTCATATTGCTTGAAACTAATTTAACGATGATTCATAAGTAAATTAAGCAACGGAGGTGTTTTATTTAAATATCTCACGTAGCAAACTTTAATTTGAAATATTAAATATTCAACTTCATAGTTTTGTTGTATCGAATCACGTGACTGAGAGTCACCCCTCGAGTGCAAAGGGTTAATACAGTTAGCTTTAAATTACAGAAATATTCATAATAAAGTATATATTCTGTTTTAATGAGAGGCAACCGTCTTATTCTCACATTTGTCTTTTTATTTATATTTGTTAATAATATATCATTATTTTAATGGAGTCATTACTACTGACAAATACTTGGGAGAAAAGGGAAGATTTTCGTCGAAGTTGAGAATCACTGGTCCCACGCGCAACGACTTCGAAATTTATTATTTATCGAATTTATCTTATCACTCGACTCAAGAGAAATTCCCAAGCTGAAATCAAATTTGTCGACGGCGGTAAAAGTGAATTCCAATTTCCCGGAGAATTTCGAAAATTTTTCCCAATCCCCGGCTCATCCCTGGGACGCGAGCATTGGAGTAGGATCGCGACGTTCCACGGGCGGATCGCGAAGAATTCGCCCCGGAGAAAATATTTGCCTGTTCCATAGACGTCAAGGGAAACAGACGGACAAATTAATGGCTCGACTTTTCCGGGACTCCATCGGCAGGAGACTTTCCGAAGAAAGGTCGCAGACGGGAAGCCATTCCCGTGGGGAGGACGCCGTTATTTCCTTGTCGCGGCCGAACAAATAAGATTATAAAGTGATCCATCGCGGAATTTGTCATGGTACGTCTTCCGTAAATAATAAATAAGGGGGACGATCGGCCGCCGCGGCGGAAGTTTTCGAGGTTAAGGCGGGACACGTTGCTCCTCGGAGGAACAGAAAGTTGAGAACTTTAGTTTATTTGCCTGGCCGCTACCCGCGCGCGGATATAGAGCCGGTTTAATCGCGGGGGATAATAAAAAGCTCGGTGAGTGTGAATTATACAGTCCACTCGAAGTTTCACTATAAATTATTTAACTCTTTAGACGCTGGGCTGCTTTGTTCCTATTTCTTCGCTGGGGCCTTTGTTCTCGATACGTGAACATTTGAATAATGAATATTTCAACGTTATGAGAGAATTCTGATAAGACGAACACGTGCAATTATTCGGCAGCAAGTGGAGGAAATCGTAAGATTGTTATTATTGTATAAATATTATTGTACCTTTTTCTTCGTACCTTTTTTCCTATATTTCTTCTGTATTTACTGATCTTAGAATTGAGTTTATAGAAAACTATAATGACCCTAGATAAATGCAATCCATGGAATATTGAATATAATATAGCAATATTCAACAATTCAGTAATAACGTTGAATATTAACACTAGATTTACGTTTATTCTACACTTTATTCTATTTATTTTAAAAAAACTCCGTGTTCGTTTATATAGACGACAAAAGCTTCAAAGCTACAACAGTATTCGCATAATTGCGAATGAAAATCGACTGAAAATAATTACCAATGTTTAAAGAATTGAGTATCCCTCAAATTGACGGGTTCTGTGAATCGAGTGTTGAAAGTTGGATATAAATCGAATAAGTCGAGAATTGATCTTTCAATTAGAATTCTTTAGCTTGTATCAAGCGCAAGTAGGATACAGAAGAGAAAACGAGGGGGTAACCTTGATCCACTTCCACCCCCGATCCGTCCCAGCTTCCGTTCCCCGGCCGAAGGACCATAATCACGCGGCGTGCCGGTATACCGGCGTAATTAACTTAAGTTACGAGGCTCGTTTACGAAGGGGATGCGTGTACGCGGGCGCCGGGCCGCGACTAAACGGCGCACAGATTTATTTGCGGTCGTGACTGCGCTCGTTCCCTTGTATATTTCTTCGCGATAACGATGATTCACGAACCTCGCCCCTTATTCTTCCGCGTTCTACCGCGAATTATCATTTCTCGAAACGTCGGGGCGTTCGTAAGTATTAGCCACCGATCTCGGACCGTAAATCTTCGCGCGAAACCGCGTTATCGAGGACTGCTCGGTGCAATATATTAATAAAAAGCAGGTTCGTCCGACTAAAAGAAGGCTTAGAATAATTTCATATTTATACCTTCGCTTCGAAGGTGTGAAACCGCCCCTCGAAGAAATGCAAATTTTACAATTTCGTAGAGCTTCCCTCGCTATCTCCTGCCGTTCCCAAGATAATCCACGGGAACGGCAAATTTGCATATTTTCAAGGGATGCTCTCACCCCTTCAAAGTAGCATTCGGAAAAGAATTGCAGTGTACCAGGCTTGACTCTACTTGAACGCAGAGTTTCATAAGTTTCGAAACGTCCGGGTATAACTTCCCTTCGAATCACCCCATGAATCCACTTTTCCGCGTCGCGAACACTTAATTTTCCACTTAACATCGCTGCGTAGCAATCGACAGTGCCCCAGAATAGTGTACAACCGATACAGTTATTGACTCAAGCCCTCAACAATTTATTTCTCCCTCGGAAGCATTCCTCGCAGCGAGGCTCGAATAGGAAATTCACGGACGCTTCCCGATGAGAACGCGTTCTCGCGCTAACGAACCCCGTAAAACCGCGAGCAGTCCAATCTAGGCACGCCGGTACAGCGTGCCAACCGCCACGAGCAATCTCGGCCTCCCGTTTTCCGTTTCATTAAACAAATTGGCCGGATTTTGTGGGATTTTTATGGTCGTCCGCCGGCCGGGAACGCGCGTTAATGGGTCCTCGCGGCGGGCGACGCTGCAAGAAGAGGATTCCACCGCTGGCGATGGGAATTAGGATGTCGCGGGTGCTGCGCGGGTCCTCGACGCGTACGCTCGGCGAGGGACGAGGCTGATTCGCCGCGGGATCGGTCGCCGCACGCGATAGATCGTGTCACCGGCGCGAAAAGGGGAAGAAACTCCGTCGCTGAGTCAGTCGTTCGTTTCCCCATTTTTATGCCGCGATCGTAACTCAACGGGCGAGTCGTAAAACGGCGCCTGATCCGAATGTTGCGCGGTTTTTATCGCTTAATGCCCGCCGCCGAGGGAAAAAGCGCAACGCGGCCTGATGAAATAGTAAGTTCGACGGCGGAGGAGGGCCGCGCGCTGCTCGGACCTTCGTTACACGGCGAACGGCCCACTTCCGGTCCTGAGGACAGGATTCTGGAGGATTCCGGTCACGTATCCGTAAAACCAGAGGCTGCCGCGGACCAGATAGAAATCTAGCGGCCGAGCGGAGCGACGAGTGTCAGCGGAATTCGAGGAATTGTTCAAGGGACGGTTCAAGATGGCCGACGTTGCGGAAGTGTATCGTTGGAAAGTTGACTTTTAATCGTTCGGTACTTTTGTTTTTTAGTACTTAGAGATCATTTCTATGTAATATTAACACTAGAACTATCAGATAGGTCGAAATGATCCATTCTTGATCTCTTCTTTTTACGATTATCGGAAGAATAACTAATTATAAACACTTGAGGAATCAAGATAAGACTGTATGTCGCTGTGAAAATTGGGATTAGCATATTAATTCGGTACACATGGATAAGGGAGAGCAGAGAGTCACGGAAACCATCCATCAGCCAATAACCGAGCGACTCCAGTCACCGAGACGCGCAGCGTCAACCCCTGAAGAAACCGGGAAAACACAATTTTAATTAAAAACCTGTGCTTCCCTAATGAAAAAAAGACGGTGGATTACCAAGCTGTACACCTAACATCCACTGTCCGCTGTATATCAAGGGAAAAGTTCGCAAATT